CTCTCAAGATGATCTGTATTCAGCTCTAAGAATGTGTTTATCTACCTTTTACTTTCTAATAAAGTTATTCCTCTCCCTGCTAAAACCTGATGTGCCCTTAAATTATTTTCTGTGATGTGTCAAGAGCCTAGAAGATCTGAGTAGCAGTCTCTTCTATCTCTGGAGATGCCTCCTCCAAYCCCTAACAGTGACAATTCCTCATTCTTCAGAAGAGAAAACACAGGATTGTGTTCAAATTGCATGGCTAGCTACTGATAAGAACCAGCCAGGGCCTTGGATTTCTGAGTTTGCTAGGTACCCTGTCTTCCTGTGACCTGGCTAGTGAGTGACCTTCTGAAAAGACATAATTTGGTGATAAGGGACTTCCAGTGATACCCATTCTCTGATTCAGAATATTCACCTATGAATCTTAGAGGCTCATGGCAATGAAGACGCAGTCAGAGAGCTCTCAATTTTGCTTCTTTGATGACAGCATCATGATATGACACTGTGGGTGGGACACAGTGTGGGTGGGAGATGAAAAGGAAGGGCTGGAAGAGGCAATTGGGAAGGTATTATTGCTCCCTCTCCCCAAAATTCTTCACGCACTTAAGAAAGAAAACATTGAGAGAACAGAACACCAGGGACTTGAAACCCAAAGTACTTGCTGTGCCTGTGGCCCATGACAAGCAGTTTTGGAGAACCAGATAAGTAAGAACAAAAGAGGTGGGAACYGGGGAGGACTGCAGAAATGCTCAGACAAGGGTGATTCTATTGGTTTTGGCGGGAAGATTATCAAGCTATATGTGGACAGAGCTTTGGAATATCTCTATTAATATCCAAAACAAGGCTCAAACTCCTAAGCAGGGATACTCCTCACCACCTCTTGCCATACCAAATAGGTAAATAATACCCACACCTATTTGTTAACCACTCATTCAGCAAAGAGTTATTAAGCACCTACTACCTCCAGCCAATAGGTAAATAAGTATATGTATGGTATGTTAGATGACTCAATCTCCCTACTGCCCCCCCGTACCAGAAATGGAAATTGAACCTAGGGGCCTTTACCCCTGAGCTACATCCTGAGACAGGGTCTCACTGTCTCCCAGACTGGCCTCAAATGTAAAATCCTGCCTTAGCCTCCCATGTAACTGGGATTACAGGAATGGGCCAAAATGAATTGATTAATTCATTTATTCTGATGTGCTGGCCTGAGCATGCAAAGAAAATTATTAGTTATTTGTCCTGCTCACTGCCCTGGGGCCTAGCATGCAGTCTTTTCCCTTCTTGGCACTTTGAATGAGGGTTTTTATGTCCAGAACAGTCTTTGGCCTTTCATGATGGAGAACTGGGAGAATACTGGGAGGCAGGAAGAGAAGCCATTAAAGGAACATGGAGGTCAAGACTATAGGAGTTTCTTACTGTTTCTAAGACAGGTCTGTGTTGTGGAGGTTGGTCTTGGACTCCTGAGCTCAAGCAATATGCCTATTTCAGCGTCTCTCCTGAGTGCTGTGAATATGGGGGCATGACTCAATGACACCTGGTTCAAGGAGGTGGGTTTTTTTTGTTTGTTTTTGTACCAGAAATTGAACCCAGGCATACTAAAGTACTCAGCCATATTCCTTTTTATTTTTTATTTTGAGACAGGGTCTTGCTAAGTTACTTAGGACCTCACCAAGTTGCCCAGGCTGACCTCAAACTTTTAATCCTCCTGCCTCAATCTCCAGTCACTGGGATTACAKGWGCGCACCACCATACCTGGTGASGAGCAGTTKTTTTTTTTTTTTTTAAAGGCTYCCATGTGCGAGAAAACGAAAGAAAGCAAGGGACTTTTTCAGGAGAATAACTTCCAAGTCTATATTTCCTTCTAGATGTTAACAGTTAGAAGCAACSACTTTGAATTACTTTTGAAATTATTTTTGATTGCATGGATGTTGGTTCTGACCTCTATCTGGGGTCATGACTTTATATGCTATTTACATTCATTCATTAGACAAATATTCATGGAGCAGATTGTATATGCAGTCATCATGTAGGACCCAACAAAACGGACCTGGCTCTTGTTCTCCTGAAGCTTGAAAATAATAAATAAAAAATATTGGGGGCTGGGGATGTGGCTCAAGCAGTAGCACGCTCGCCTGGCATGCTCGTGGTTCTGGGTTCAATCCTCAGCACCACATACAAATAAAATAAAGATGTTGTGTCCACCTAAAACTAAAAAAATAAATATTAAAAAATTCTCTCTCTTTAAAAAAAAATGAATTGTGGTTTGTGTTTTGAAGCAGCACAGTGCCATGAGAGAGTTAATTGGGGGAACAGTGTTATATTTTGGAGAACACATCTTGCACCTCACACTTCAAGGTCTTTGTTCTCACTCTTAATGCTGAAGTATTTTTTTTACTGTACCCTGTCAAAATCTTAGTACTATACTAAAAAGCTCAAATGTCACCTTCAAGATGTCATTTTAGTCCCCCATTTAGGTTATTCCCTCCTGACACATTGCTTGCAAGTCTATTATAATGTACAATTCATTCTGCCAATATGTACCTATTTTAGAGGGACTAACTGTTCCAGTTTTCCTGCTATTGAAGGGTTTTCTGGAATGCAGAATTCTTGCCTGGACACAGTGCTAACACCTAGAAAGTCCCAGGTAAACAGGAGAGAGATAATAGTCACCCTAATCCATGGACAAGCCTATCTTCCCATTTATAGCCAATGCTCAAAGGAGGAAGGAGGACACATCTTCTCTCTMTTCATGCTATGACTTGAACTTAGAAATAATGGTACTATTGGCAGATACAGTGGTATATACCTGTAATCCCAGTGACTTGAGAGGCCAAAGCAGAGGATCACAAGTTTGAGGACAGCTGGAGAACTTAGAGAGGTCCAGAGCAATTTAGTGAGATTCTGCCTCAAAATAAAAAAGGGCTGGGGAGCCGGTGCAGTGGTGGTGGCGCACGCCTATAATCCCAGTGGCTGGGGGGGGGGGGATGAGACAGGAGGATTGTGAGTTCAAAGCCAGCCTCAGCAAAAGTGAGGGGCTAAGCAACTCAATGAGACCCTGTCTCTAAATTAAAAAAAAAATACAAAATGGGACTGGGGATGTGGCTCAGTGGTCGAGGGGCCCCTGAATTCAATCCCCAGTACCACAAAACAAACAAACAACAACAACAAAATGGGGCTGGAGCTATGGTTCAGTGGTCAAATGCCCCTGAGTTCAATCCCCGGTACCACAAAACAAACAAACAACAACAACAAAATGGGGCTGGAGATATAGCTCAATGGTAAAGAACTCCTTGGTTCAATTCCTAATACCAAAAACAACAACAACAACAACAAAAAAAAAACCAACACACAAAAACCCCAATTGTAATACTAACAACAACAATAATAAAAATTTAAACTTGAGTGCCAATCAACTTACAAAAAACAAATTAGTAGGGAAACTAAGGGTAAACCAGTTAAGCCAGGATGAGAAGGTGGGACCAAAGAAGAGGATTTAATTACCATTTATGTTAGCACAATGCTTCTCAAACTTTTTTGATCTCATGATCCTTTTATAGTCTCAAAAATTATGAGGGCCCCTCAAAACGTTTATGTGGGCTCATTTATTGACATTAATCATTAGGAATTACTTCTGAAAACGAAAAAATTCATTTATTTGTTTATTTATTTTTTGGTACTGGGGATTGAACTCAAGGTCACTGTACCACTGAGGTACATCCCCAGCCCTTTKTGTTTTTTTGAGACAGGCTMTTCTTAAATTGCTTAGRGCCTCAGTAAATCGCTGAGGCTGTACTTGAACATGAAATCCTCCTGCCTTACCCTGCCCAGTGGCTGGGATTACAGGCATGAGCCACGACTTCTGCCAATCATTATGTTTCAACATTAATTCACATTAATAATACATTTTTTTGGGGGGGGCACTTAACCACTGAGATACATCCCCAGCCCGTTTTTACTTTTAGTTGTCAATGGACCTTTATTTTATTTATTTATATGAGGTGCTGAGAATCGAACCCAGTGTCTCACACATGCTAGGCAAGCACTCTGCCACTGAGCTACCACCCCAGCCCCCATTTTGTATTTTTTGTTTTGAGACAGGGGCTCGCTAAGTTGCTGAGGCTGGCTTTCAACTTGCGATCCTCCAGTCTTAGCCTCCTGAGGCTAACAATAAGTTTTATTTTCTAATTTGTTCTAATTAGACAGTAGACATACTGTACACAAATGGAGCACAACTCCTCATTCCTCTGGGCTGTACATGGTGCATGGTCACTCCAGTAATGTAATCATACACGTACACAGGGTAATAAGGTCTTTCTCATTCCACAGTCCTTCCTATCCCCACAGCTCTGCCCCTCCCCTCTACACAACCCGAAGTTCCTTCATTCTTCCCCATAATAATATATTTTAAATGAACAATAACTTTATTTTCCAAGACTAAATATGTTAGCTAAAAGTATGGCAAACCTTTTGTTTTGTTCCATGAAGCCTCCAAAAAACTCCACTGTGCACCGGTGCGGTAAGACTATGAAAATTGTTTTTCCTTCAGAGACCCCCAGAAAAGGTCTTGAAGACCCTGCTGTAGTTTTTGAAACAATAAATCACGCATTCAGTCTTTTCAAAACCTTAATGTCAGGCATCAGAAAAAAAAAAAAAGGTATCTTCGGTTTGTACTAATGTTGGGTATTGGTTTGTAGACTGGATCTGGGAGAATGCCCCAAGCACCGGCGAGAAAAGTAGTAAAACCAAGCAGCTCTTCTGCCTAGGTTACCCGCKCTGCGCTCGACCTTGGACTACAATTCCCGGCAGGGCTCGCGGCAGGGGCGTGTCCTAAGCCTCGGCCGGGGGGGCGTGGATGACGCAAGCTGATGACGGAAACKAGTGGGGTGCGCTTATTTTGGGCAGCTTGGTGCCACAATTGGAGGAGACKGAAGAAGGGGCGGAGCCTGTGTTTGGGTCAGCCAATGGTTTGCCACCAGGCGGAAGAGGGGAACGGGGCGTGGCCAGGCCGACTAGTAGGCAGCGTGGGATTTAGGGGAASAGGGTTTAGAGTGTGGGGGTGTCTGTTTTGCGTCCACCGTGGCTGGGAGAGGGAGATGGCAGCTCGATGGAGCAGCGAGAATGTGGTGGTGGAGTTCCGCGATTCCCAGGTGAGCTGACGGGTGGCTAATGGAGCCGTCTGGGCATGCGCCCTCCTGGGTTCCCTTCCCCCACACTGCTGCACCTGCGGAGACCCCTGGCCCTGTCCGGGGAGATGGGCTGCGGGGTGCTCTGGAGCTGTCACACTCGAGCGGGCGAGGGGAGACTTGATGACCGTTGAGGGCGGTTGGGATGGGCACTGACGGGACTCCCCGCGGGCTTCTGGCGAGTGGGGACTGCCTTGGGACACTGAGGCTGAGATTGCGCGCGAGTGAGTGGGAGGCTTCCCACGCGCAGGGTGGTTTGCTAGGAGGGTCCGCTTCCCTGGTCCAGGGCCTCTCTCTGTGACTTCGGCCAAGTTGCAGAACTTCTCTGAGCCTCAGCTGCGCAGACTTAGCCCTGCCTCACAGTATTTTGGGGTGGATTCGATGAAATACTGCTTGTAAAGTGCATGCTCTAGTAATGGAAAATAGCGTGTAGTGGACAGAAGTGTACACACTACACGTATTGCTCGGGTTCACGAATCTTTACACAGTCTTTACGTGGTCATTACCCGTTGCACCGACAGTTTTCTTACCTGTAGAAGGGATCATAATATTTACCTCACAGGGTGGGCGTGAGGATTTTATGGGTTGCACCTTTAGAAAGTGTGGCAGAGTGACAGGCACATGGYAAGCCTCAAGAGACGTCAGCACTTATTGAGGAGTTTTACTACTATTCTATAACGTGCCTTCTATATGCCAAGTCTTGTGCTAAGTGATTTATCTATATATGTGTCATCCCTTTATTCCAAAAAGGAGAGCTGATGCCTATTTGGCTAAGGCTTCGCAAAATATGGCAGATGTCATTGAAATTTGGACCCAGGCTCTAACCACAGGGCTCTTGTTCCGCTTATTATACCATTTTTCCTCATAGTAAGTAGCTCAGAACCTGAACTACCTCCATAAGTATCATGACCCCCTTCCCTAGTACTAAGAGCCACTCTTGGTGATCCTTTCCGCTTATTCAGTATTTATTGGATACCTTCTGTCTGCCAGAATTGTTTTCACTCATTTATTCAACAAGGATTGGTTTATGGAGTGCCTATTAGTTGCCCGTTGTGTCAGACTCTATGTTAGTTTACATTGAGATATATCTGGATTACAGTAAGTGGGTGGTGTGTTTTCTTTCTAAAATTTTATCTGTCTTTTGCCATAAAGATTAATGCATGGAGGAGCCACCYACCATTCTGTTCTGCAATGCCGTCTGATAAGCAGCCCCCAAGGAGAATTTGACCATTATTGGGGTTTGGATTAAGGGATCTTGAAGCACTTTGCAGTGTCAGCAAAATGTCTGTGACTCCTGCTCTCCCAAGTGAGGTGCCAAATTCCTAGAGAAAAAGAGCCATATTGCTGTTACCCTTCTTGTTAATTGCTTCCACTGGGGACTAGGACAGAGCAGAATCATATGGAGAGTGTCTGAGCCTGCTAATTTGGAAGATACTAATCTGCAAACCCTTTAATTCTCACAGAAACCCAGGTAGTCTCGCCCCTCCTTTAATAGAGATGTAATTCAGGAGACCTGCAGAGAGGGTGCTGACATATATATTAGAATGCTATGAAGTAGAAGCAAATAATTAAACATAAACAGCAGTTGTCAAAGGAAGAGAACTAAGTAAATTGGATAATTTTAATTGCCTTATGGGAGTTTCTGTTTTTCTGATTTTTCTATTTAGTTGAAAGGGTACATCTGTATTGTGAATTAGCATGGTGTTGTGGTTGGATTGGGAGGGACAGGGACCCATTTTATAAATTATTTCAACAACTTAAAAGGGCTGTGGCTGTGGCTCAGTGGTGCAGTGCTTGCCTAGCATGTGTGAGGCACTGGGTTCGATCCTTAACACTACATATAAATAAATGAATAAAATAAAGCTCCATTCATATAAAAATATTTTTAAAAATAATTAAAAAAAAGACTGTGTCTTGTTAAGTTGCCCAGACTGGCTTTGGACTTGTGATCCTCTGGCCTCAGCCTCCCAAATTGCTGGGATTACAGGTGTGGGCCACCAGGTGTGCACTACGAAGCCTGGTAGTTTTCACCATTTTTCAGCAACCATTTTCATTTCTCTATATTGTAGTCTAGTCTTTCTGAGGCATTCTTATAATGAATTTTTTTTTCCTAGTACTGGGAATTGAACCCAGGAGCAATTCTGCCTTTGAGCTACATCTTCAGCCCTGTCTTTTCTCTTGTTTTGTTTGAGACAGGGTATCATTAAGTTGCCCAGACTGACCTGGTGTTTTGATCCCTCCTGCCTTAGCCTCTAGGGTTGCTGGGATTACACGTAGGCATCCTTGTGCCTGGCTTAAAAATAATTTTTGAAAATTATAACTTTACATTTTTCAGAGGACAATCCCAGACTTAAAGATGACACTGCACTCAGTAATGCCCAGTAATGATTTGTTTTTTTATTAGAGCAAAAAACAGTTTTTATCTTCCTGGATGAGTTGTACAGAAACTAACAAGTCACTAATCATCAGGGAATATTTTCTGCTGAGATGATTCATTTTCAATTTTGAGGAAGCAGGAAAAATTAAGAAAAAATATTAGAGGGTATGTTTATGAACATTGGGTATGGWTATTCTTCTAAGGAGGATGCAGAAACACAATCCATAAGTTAAATTGCATAAAGACAATGAAAAGCTTTGTTTTTTACATAAAACATATGTAACCAATACAGGATTAAAATCAAGAAAAAATTTCATACTTTTCTTAATCTTTAAGAAAGCGATAGCTCAACTTAAGAAGTACACAAGACATAAGCAGGTATTTCATAGAAGAAACATGCATTTCCAATTAAACATGAAAATGTATTCACTTTCATCAGTYATCAGAAAAATACAAATTAACCTCCAAAATTACAGATCATTTCATATGTACCAGATAGGTAAAAAATTAATGGACAACAAGACTGATATGGGCAAAAAGTTTTGTTTTGTTCACTGCTGGATCCATAGTGCCCGGCATACAGTAGATTTATCAATAAATATTTGTTGGAAGGATGAAAAGTTTAAATGTCAGATAATATTGAGTGCTGATGAAGATATGGACCAACTCATTAATCACTACTTCTAGAAGTATACAATTTAACCAYTTTGAGAAACAGCTTGACATTTTCTGGTGAGGTTGAAGAATATGCTCATCTGAGAACCCAACAATTCTACTCATATGCAAATACCATCTTCAGAGTATTATCATCTATAATTTAAAAAACTGGAAACAACCCAGATGTTTAATGACAGTGAGATAGATCAGTTGTGGCACGGTCGTACAATGGAATATTACCTCAGAGCAAAAAAGTAAACTACAACCTATCCACCTGGTTGAACTTCAGAATCAATGTGTGTGTGTGTCGGGGGCGGGGGAGTGGGGGGGAAGCAAGTCACAAAAGAATTCACAGCATAGAATTCCATTTGTATAATGATCAAAAACAGTCACAGTAAAAGAAAATATTATGTATGTGTATAGTAAATCTATTGAGAAAAGCAAGAAAATTATCCAAAATTTAATGCAGTCATGAACTCTAAAGGATCTTAGGGAGAAATATATTCTGGGAAACACAGCATTCAGGCATTAAAAATAACCAGAAGGGTCTATTCTGTTAGCCAAATGGAGAGTACATCTTTTTTTTTTTTTTGGTGTGTGCTTGGGATCAAAGCCAGGACCTTATGTGTGTTAAGCATGCACTTTTCACTGAGCTATATCCCCAGCCCATATTATTCTGTACATGGTATCAGAATACTATATATATATATATGTGTGTGTGTGTGTGTGGGTGTGGGTGTATATATATATATATATATATATATATATATATATATATGATATATTACATAAAAAAGTTTTTAAGGAGAAAGGTTTTAACATGTCATTAGGACAGGTGCAGTGACACATGCCTGTAATCCCAGCCTCCTGGGAATCTGACACAGGAGTAGGACAGTTCAAGGCCAGCCTGGGCAACTTAAGGAGAACTTGTCTCAAAATAAAAAAATTAAGGAATGGGTATGTAGCTCAGAGATGAGTGTTTGCCCAGCATGTAAGATCCCTGGGTTCAATTGCTAGTATCACTAAAAAACAAACCAATCATTAAATTATCACATGACACTCCATAAATTTGTGTAATTTTTATGATTTTATTTATCAGTTAAAAATTTTTTTAAATATTTATTTTTTTAGTTGTAGATGGACATAATACCTTTGTTTTCTTTATTCATTCATTTTTATGTGGTGCTGAGGATCGAACCCAGGGCCTCACACATGCTAGGTGAGTGCTCTACTGCTGAACCACAATCCCCGCCTCTATCATTTAAATTTATAATTTTTTTTTTTTTGTACTGGGGATTGAACTCAAGGGTAGTTCACCACTGATCTACATGCCAGTCTTTTTTATTTTGAGGCAGGTCTTGCTAAGTTACTAAGTATGAGTGTGATCCTCCTGCCTCAGCTTCCCAATTGCTGGAATTATAGGTGTGCACCAACACACCTGGCAAATCAGGAAAATAAAAGGAAAAAGCTAAAACAGTTCATGACACAACAACAAAGACAACAATTTAAAAAAACCCACTTTGATCCTTGGTTTCCTGGTTTTACTTAAAATTTGATTTGAAAACTATATAGCGATGGAGGAGCATAGTAGGTATATTCTTGGTTAAAGTGACTATTAAGATGCAAATGCTGGGCTGGGGTTGTAGCTCAGTGGTGGAGCACTTGCCTAGCATGCATGGCCTCATGTTTTTATTTTTATGTGGTGCTGGGTTTGATTCTCAGCACCACATAAAAATAAAGATATTGTGTCCATCTATGATGAAAAAAAAATATTAAAAAAAATGTGAATGCTGCGAATTTCTTGTTTTCTAGAAAGCACCATGACGATGCAGTCATGATGGGAGGGAGGAGCATAGCATAGTGTAGAGTTTAAGGATTTGGATCTAGAGTGCTCCATTAGGGCTCAGGTAGTGTCACCTGTCTGCCATGG